AGGAGACGAGGGGACGAGGGGACGAGAGGACGTGGGGACGAGGAGACGAGGGACGAGGAGACGACAGGACGAGGGACGAGGAGACGAGGGGACGAGGAGACGAGAGGACGAGGGACGAGGAGACGAGGGGACGAGGAGACGAGGAGACGAGGAGACGAGGAGACGAGGAGACGAGGGGACGAGAGGACGTGGGGACGAGGAGACGAGGGACGAGGGGACGAGGGGACGAGGGGACGAGAGGACGAGAGGATGAGGAGACGAGGGACGAGGAGACGAGGGACGAGGAGACGACAGGACGTGGGGACGAGGAGACGAGGGACGAGGGGACGAGGGACGAGGGGACGAGGAGACGAGGGACGAGGGGACGAGAGGACGAGGGACGAGGAGACGAGGAGACGAGGGGACGAGAGGACGAGGGGACGAGGGGACGAGGAGACGAGGGACGAGGAGACGAGGGGACGAGGGGACGAGGAGACGAGGAGACGAGGAGACGACAGGACGAGGGGACGAGTCTTCCCCAGGGGGGCCAAGCCCCCAGCACCCCCCAGGCCCCCCCAGCTCCCCCCCCCTCCCCCGTGCTAGGGGGCTCTCTGACGCGTGGCTGTCGTAATGGAAACTCCGTGAGCGATGTGTGGTTGCCTTGCACCGAGGCAGTCGCGGGTTTCGGGTCACGCAACGTCGCCATCTGCGCATTCCCGCTTGGCAGACGGCGGCGGGGGCGGCGGCGTCGATCCACTGCTGGATGGACGGAGGCGTCCGCCGCGGCTTTGTCGGTCACGACGGGGGGCAGCGGCGGCGGGGGGTGGGGGGTGTTCGAGGTTTGTTTGGCCAAACTTCTCAACACGCTGGCGAAGGGCCGCCGCGGTGGCTATGCGATGTTAACTACCTCGCCCGGTCTACGGGAAGTCGTAGGTTCGATCCCGACCCTGGGGCCTGCCGCTGTATATTTGGAGTTTGCGTTGTCTCTCTCTCTCTTCGTGGTCGTCCGCTGAAGGAGTGCAGACCACAGTGGTGGTATCATGGGACCATTTTTTGCGAGTATCAAAGAATGAAGATTAAGAATAGCTTTTACCCTTATCGGGCGATAAAACTGGCGTTCAAGCCTCAAATAGATGCCTATTTGGGGTTCTCTGGTCGGACACTGGTGGTGAGACTAGGCCATGAGGAAGTCTGTCTCTGGTGTAGGTCAAACAGTTTCCAAGACGATGTATATATTATTAGATCATGTTTGTTTGCATGTTCACCACAACTACCGTGTGTGGTTAATGCAGTAACTTGATTCCTTGCAAAAAAAAAAGGTTTCTATTTGATGTTTGAACATCTTAGTGCCTCCTGTTTTATTGGCAGAAAGGGGCAAAACCTATTGATGTTTTTCAGACCGCAGTGGCGTTTGCTGTCGGGTCCATAGTTTGGGTTGCATGGACACAATCACACACCCGCCTGGTGGTGGCACGATGTGGTTGACGAACAACACCCCCCAGTGTCTTAGACGAGGATGAAAGTCAAAGCGAAGAGGGAGTGCCATGTTTGGCTCTCGCACGAGGGGTTTATTCAGGACGTCCGCGCTGCTCCACTCGGGTCGCCAGCGTTCTGCGTTCATTCGATGCGCACCTAGCCTGGCACAAGCGCCGCCCTGATGCGCGCGTTTCTCACGCACTGTCACTCACGCGCTCCGCTGTGCGCGCGTGAGGATGTGAACCCACGCTTGTCGTGCCCCGTGAAGGGCGCAGCCGAGATCCCTGGATGAATGTCGTCTTTTAAATGTCAATAATCGTTTTTAGAATTACTGTTGTTGTTAATGACAACCGAGGAGATGGAGCGATCACACCGGCTGGCGTGCGGGTGCCGGGTGGGCTGCATTACAGCAGGATCATGAGCGATGGCGACGGCTCGGGAAGAAACTTCACTCAGCAGTCGATTGATCATGGCTGCTGATGATGAACTACGGCCGTGTGCTTGACGATGCACGCACGCGCACACTCAGAGAAGAGCACAGCGGGGCATCTAACGCCACGTGTAAGACGTCAAAGCGCGTGGCTGGGCGCGTGGTGTTGTTACGGGAGCGTTGCGACGCACGGATGCCCCGTTCCGCGACAGCTGCAGCAGCGCGCGCTAGCATCTCACGCCGAGATCCAGTGCAGCGCGTGTCACAAATTACATTCATAATAACATCATACATTCATTAGGAATTACATTCATAATAACATCATACATTAATTAAGAATTGCATTCATAATAATATCATACATTAATTAAGAATTATATTCATGATAATATCATACATTCATTAAGAATTACATTCATAATAATATCACACGATTAATTAGGAGTAAGTAATATTGATTACTTAATACACCGTAATTAATGAATAGTTAATCGTAATCAAGCAAACAACAATGATATTCTTGGTTCTTTCGGTAAAGTCACCACGTAGAAGGGAAACAATAAAATATTAAAAATATAAAACAATAAAATGCTCACGACGTTTCGACTGCAGCACAAGCAATCATCATCACACCTGATGATGATTGTGACTTTACCGAAATAACCAAGAATATGAATCCCTGCAGTCACGAAAGCTTTAAATAAAAGCAACAATTAATTAGTAATTTCACACAGCGTTGCTTTCCTTATAATTAATCATTAACTAATAATTGATTACATTCATAATAATTCCATGTATAGAACGATTCTCATCAAGGATTTCAAAGTGCTGTACAGGACACAGCAGCAGTACCCAGCACAATCTTTTTTTATATCATAAATACATTTTAAGAATCCATTTACGATATAAACCAAAAGTTTAGCAAGCGGAAGCGAATATAAATGGGTTTTAAGACGCATTTCAACAAATGTCCACAGACTCTCAGAGAGAGATCCCTGAAATCTCGTGGGAGAGAGTTACATGGCCTGGGGGCTACACGGCGGATATCTCGGCCACCCGTAGACCGAGTAAGCCTCGACCTGTGAACGCAGAGAATGTCTGCATCCCGCAGATCGTAGGGGACCTTGAGTGGTACATGCGGGTGCGGCTTGTCAATGATTTCAGTTATTTCGGTTTCAGTTTATTTATTTTGGTATAGCAACTGTGAGCCATTCGGCTCTTGAATCGGGTGCAACCACAACAAACAAAAAAACTAAAACACGAACAAGAAAAACATCTTCAAGTGACTATGTGACTGTGCAAACAGAAAAATCCATGAAAAAAACAGCAAAATATTCCTGAAACAAAAAAAAGCACCGGTACACCAACGCCGTGTGCAAATGTAGGCTGGGACAAGACGGTTCAGTGCTTCGTTAAGTTAACAAGAGGATTGTAAACTGGATTCTACGTGGAAATGGAAGCGAGTGCAGGGAGGTCAACACGGGCGTCGTACGACGTGAAGAAGGGCTTCTGGTTGACACCCTAGCAGCCGCATTCTGAACGTGCTGAAAATTAACCTCTGTTCTGAATCACCCTCTAAAAAGAAAACGGAATACAGGGTGGTCCAGAAGTCAGGACACATCGGGTTGTTATATTATTTTTAAGACGGGGATTGAAACATTTTAATCAGTTATTGTTTAAGTCAATATGTTATCTAATATCGTGATTAATATATTTTGATGATGACTTCAAATGGAAAACAAATTAACTGAATTGAGACAACACAACCGATAAATATTCGAGAGTGCACCTGTAATGAAAAAAAATATAAAAGCCCGAAATTAATTTCGAACAGAAATATTCATGCACGCATTAATGCATTCGTGTTTAGGGCAGGCAGTTTGAACAATTGTTCAAATAGCTGAAATAAGCCCGTGTGGTTTGTTAAGACACAGCAAACATAACCCCATGTGTCCGCACTTGTAGGGGCCACCCTGTATATTTGAATCTTTCTGCCGATTGGCCGCGGAGATGTACGTAGAATCAGGGGCATGCGGGTACGAAGCAACACAAATGTGGACCCCCCCACACACCGCTTCTGGGACTCAGTTGGTGGATCGCCGCACACATGAATGTTGCGAGACTCCCCCTCTTCCCGTGGGGGTCGAGGATCAGCCGTGCCGCTGTGGCTCGCCAAGGGGCACGGCAGAGTGTGAACTCCGCCCGTTTTCATCTGCGCGCGCGTTGTTGGGTCGAGAGTTGTCCACGCACGTGCCACGGGGGTTTCACCTCCGGTTTCGTCCCACGCACGGACACTCACGGACCGGCTGATAACGCCTCCATCTGTTGGGCGGAAGCGCGGGGCAGGGGCACAGGCTCGCCGTGCGAATCTTGCTCGCCCCTCCGAGCGCGTTCTCTCTCTGTGCGAGAGTGAACGCTGTGCAGCGCGTTGCAGGTTGACGTTATTACTACTGCTACTACTACCACTATATCTCTTATTATGAACAAGTGTCAGCCGAATGAGGCTTCCTTGATACTGAGGGATTTGTCAGATGCTATTAGTAAGGGCCTCCCCCCCCCCTCATTCAAACGATATGGCTCTGTCAGCAGGGCCATTAAGAAGTAATCTTCGCTAAATCGTTTCCTCTCCTCCCTCAAAGCTCACTTTCCCTCCCTAGCTCATCCCACGGCCCCATAATCTCCGCCTTCTAAACCACCACCGTTCCTGCTCCCTCTTCACAATCTCTCCCCCGTGGCTCCCACTCATCCCCCATTCATCCAATCCGTTCATCATCATTCGCTCTCGTCACATTACAAAAAAAAGTATTCTACTTAATTCACGCACCACAGGGGTTTTCGCCCATTGTACTTCCTCTCATACATCCTCCCATATAGTCCAGGTGGTCGACGGTTCGATGCCACCTCCCGGGCGCGGCAGTCGAAACAACAATCCGACGCACTCCTCATCGTCGGTGCGTTCGCGACGACGGTTCCACCGCGATCCGTTACCGGTTCCTGACTTTCGAAAACCGGTTACCGATTCTCAAACCGGTTACCGGTTTCGACAGACCAGAAGAGCCACTGGCCTGACGCCGCCGTCTCTTGCCCTGTGTCTGCACTCTCGCTTCCCCTGTAGGCAGAGCAAGGCCCGAGTCGCGACCCCCCGTGACCCCCCGTGACCCCTGGCACCATGTCCGACGGTTACATCCAGAAGGGGCCCCTGCACCAGTCGGGGCGCTCGGAGCCACCTCGTCCACACTCGGGCACGGAGCCCAACAACCCCAAGGCGACAGCATCGTCACCACCAGCACCGCCACCGCCGTCTTCAGCAGCAGCAACAGCAGCAGGAGGAGCGACGGGATGCGGCGGGAGCGGCGCCCGCCTGGCGCCCGGCCGGTACCCGCTCTCCCCGCAGCGCCAGCAGCAGCAGCAGCAGCTGCAGCTGCTGGCGGCCACGGGAGGCGCCGAGGGCGCCTGCTACAAGTGCCTGGCGCCGTTCGGCGTGGCGCTGCTGGTGAGCGGCGCGGCGGTGAGCGCCGTGGCGTACGGCCGCAACGCGCACGGCAGCCCCATCACGCTGCTCGGCCTCGCGCTGCTGGGGCTCGGCGCCCTGCTGGGGCTGCTGGGCGCCGCCGGCTGCCTCCTGCACAGGCACCGCGAGCTGAGCCGCGCCAGGAGGGAGAGCCGCACCACCCTCGTGGTGGCGTCCGTGCCCTGACCGCGGCTGTCTCGCCGGCGGCGAGGACAAACCCCCGGGCGGAGCGTGCAGGCGGTGCAACTGCGGCGGGGTCCCGACCCTCCCCCCCACCCCCCACCCCCAACCCCCCACCCCCCTTCTTCCTCCATCTCACCCCCACCCGGCCCTGCCCCTACAAGCCGGAGGACGGCCGGAGGGAGAGTTCCTCACCAGCGCGTGTGTTTAGCGGCTCGCTCAGTGGCATTGCTGTGCAGTGTGTAGGCGGTGCAACTGCGCTGGGGCCTTACGCGCGAGAGGGTGCCCAGGCATCACCGGGCTATGAAGAGTGTGGGGGAAGTTGAACGAGGGAGGGGAGGGGGGGGGGCGGGTGGCATTTGGACATGTGAAAAAGAGCTTCATAGCTTTTCGGATTCCTCCAGTATTTACTAAATATTCAGATGTGATTGCTTCCATCCACCTGGGTCCATGTCAACAGCGCCACGCCCTGCAAACGCCACCCAGCGTGATGGTGGTGGTGGTGGTGGTGTCGTCGGGATTACGATCACCATTGTCACCGTCAAGTGCAGGCGTCAACATTTGCTCGCGATAAAAAAAAACGACGACGACGACGACGCAACGACCGTGACACGGGGCAGACAAAACAACGGGACGCGATCCCGACGGCGGTGAGGACCCACGCGAGACGGCGCGGCCCGAGGGCTCGACCCCCCCCCCCCCCTCCATCCTCGTCGTGCTCGTCGTCGATGAGTCGTGAAAGCTTTCGTTTCACACGGTGGGCTGGGGGGGGGGGGGAGAGGGGATCAAGAAGGGTGCGTTCAATCTCAAAACCGCCGCGGTGTCTCGAGCGGCCTTCGGAAGGAAAATCAAAAACGCACCCAAGAATGACGGAAGCGCATCCGCTCTAATTTATATATTATAAATATATATGTGTGTGTGAGTGTGCGTGTGAGCACACTTACACACACGCCTTTGTCTCTCCGGGGCGAGTGGTGGTGGTGGTGGTGGCGACCGTAATATTGCAACGCGTACCGATGTGGTGGTCGTGTCTGTTCTACGGGAGTTGCGGGTCACACTCAGATGCCAAAAAGCGAATCAATCAGGGGGGGGGGGGGCGGGGGGGGGGTGTTGTGAGTCGTGGGCAGGAGTCGAACCCGGGCTCACGCAGATCACACGGTGGCTGGGTCGTCGAGTCGTGATGCCTGCGCAGAACGCGCCTGCGGTTCAATGTCTTTCTTTTTTAAAGCCAATTTCATACACTGAAAAGCTTATGTACCAAGAATTCACAATTTCCTATTCCACAAGCGCCAAGGTCAAGAGGTCATAGTATCGAGTGGCATTTCGGCCCCAATCGACTTCCACTTGGTGGCCCACCTCTGTGTGCCACTCCAATGCCTGCCTCGGTCACCTGCCCTCTTCCTCCACAACCTCCACGTTGCTTCCGTATCTCACCATGATAAGTCCTTGCAGCCTCTGTGTGCACCAGTCTAACTGTTCTACTTTGTTTATGTTACCAGGTAAGGCCCCGCTGAACTATATAACTCTTTTTTAGAAGCCACGTGGCCACAAATTGTCGGTCAACAAGGTCGCTTATCATGTGTAAAGTTACAGCAGCCAAATCATCTAAACGCACGTTGTTTCTGAATGTGGAGGGGGAAACCGCAGGATCCGGAGACAAATTCAAGCGACCACGGGGAGAGAGGCACACAAACTATAAATATACAGCAGGAGGCGTCAAGCTCGGTTTCGAACCCACAACCTCTTGTATACCCGGTGAGGTAGTTAACATCTTCCTGCCAACGTGGCGCCCAGTAAATTAAAAGGTGAGAGGCCTTCTTGTCTCTTTGCTTTGTTCAGCTGCGGCTCTCCGGGTTACACGGAGGAAAAACGCGGAGCCAGTGGAGGGGGGGGGGGGGGGGGTGTGGCACGTGCCCCCCCAATGATCCGATCGAAATCCCTAATTTCGATCGGATCATTGGGGTTTATTAGTAATAAATCGGCATTTTTCGACCCCAACTGCCACTGTGTAGCATATTATTACGTGCCAGGAACTCTATGAGATGATAGGACAATAGTCCGAGTCCATAATTGGCAATAAGTAACGGCAAAGCGGTTATTAGTGACTCAGAATTGTGCGCAGTTGCGTCTACAGAGTCCACGACTTCCCTGAAGGCATCATCACCTCCAGCGAGCGCGATGCCGATCACACAGTAAAAAGCAAGGGGCAAGTCCTTACTTATTAACATCTATCATTTTTCATTGCTGGAGGGGTTTGCCCCCCCCCCTCCCCCTACCTGGAAATCCTGGCTCCGCCATGGATTACTTCCACCTCAATGTCCCGTCTCTTCACATCGCATTCCACCTCTGCGTTGACCCATCAACAACCGCCCTTCCCACCATGCTCATTGTACAACTTCTCTTGACCTGCTCGCAATGCCCCGCGCTATCCACGTTGCTGCTTGTACGAAGACAAAGACCCCCCCCACCCCCCCCCCCCCCCCCCGATAGCCTGAACAGACTGTTGGGACAAGTGCTGTTAGCGAGCAGCACCTATGAAGGCCGACACGGAGCACGAGGGGGTGGGTGGCCAGCACCACGCCCGACCGCCTTTGTCTCCCTAGTGGCGACGTTCACACACCGCACCAGGTACTATTTTGAGGCTGAATCGACCTAGGGGAGGCCCAGCAACGGTTCAGATGAATCGCCACCGGCGCCGATGGCCGTGAGCGCGAATCGAGCCGGGGTCGCCGGGTTCGTGGCGTTAACCGCAACGCCACCGCTCCCCACACACGCACACACAACGCCCTGCACCGCCACCACCATCAACGCACACGGATCTCTGTGTTAGCCGGGGACACGGCAGAGGTCAGCAGCCAGCAGCCAGCGCCCAGCCCCAGACAAACAACTCTTGACGCAAAACCGCAACGCCCGGGCCAAGTGGTCACACAGGACGCAGACCACGTGGTCACACAGGGCGCAGACCACGTGGTCACACAGGGCGCAGACCACGTGGTCACACAGGGCGCAGACCACGTGGTCACACAGGGCACAGACCACGTGGTCACACAGGGCGCAGACCGACTCGGATGTCTGCAGTCGCCTCGTGCCCCGACCTTTAACCATTGGGTTAGCGGAACGCCTCGTAAGTGAAACACCTCGTCAGTGAAACGCCTCGTCAGTGAAACACCTCGTCAGTGAAACACCTCGTTCGTCAAACACCTCGTCAGTGAAACACCTCGTTCGTCAAACACCTCGTCAGTGAAACGCCTCGTCAGTGAAACACCTCGTCAGTGAAACATCTCGTTCGTCAAACACCTCGTCAGTGAAACACCTCGTTCGTCAAACACCTCGTCAGTGAAACGCCTCGTCAGTGAAACACCTCGTTCGTCAAACACCTCGTCAGTGAAACACCTCGTTCGTCAAACACCTCGTCAGTGAAACGCCTCGTCAGTGAAACGCCTCGTTGAGCGTGACATTCAACCGAGAGGGTGAATAAGGACCCCTCTGCTTGCTATCATCGTCATCGTCACCATCAGCCAATGGCTAATCCGCTGCTGGATGAAGGCCGCCCCAGCCCCCCAATCCACCGCCATCCCTTGTGACTGTCCGCCGATCGCCCCCGGTTCTTTTAATCGCTCTCCGCTGCCCCGCCAGGCACTGTCCACCGCGAAACATCGATCCCCTCGCCCGCGATACGAGGGAGTTCCAGTGACGCGCGTGGCAATCGATTATTCAAATGCTCGGGTAATTTGTATTGACAGTATGTACACGTTGAACTTATTTCGCGCCGTACGTAGCCAACCGCTCTAATCGGAGGTGCGGGGGAAGGACAACAAACACTAAACACACAAAAAGCAGTTATAGAGAAATTAGTTTGTCAATGTAAATTTAAAAATGCGTAGATCCCAGTGGCCTCCTAATATCGGAAGGGAGAGCGTTCCAGACGGCCGTAGAAGCGCATCTGAAAGCGCCGCGTGATGCGGTGACCACCGCCTTTGTTCGACGGTTTAGCCAAAAGGCACTGCTGCTGCGAGGATGACTGGGGGAGTTCGCGTGACTGTGGTTTATGCTCCTTGACAAAATCAACAAGGTGTTGTGGTTCATTTGTGGCAAGCACTTTGTGTGTGATGAGTGTGAAGTTGCGCGTGGCGTGATACTTAAATGGGTGTCGTGATTCCCTGTAGCCACAAAGGCAAACGGAATTGATTCTTGAATGAACGAATGAACTCGGGCCCCCCGAATTTAAACTAAAACTAAACTTTTTATTTTATTTTACCAAATAAGAGCTGTATGGCTCTTATTTCAGAAGCGACCTGGCCACAAATGTTATCTCAACGAAGTGGCTTATCGCGTGGAAATGTATAGCAGACAAATACTTTAAGCACACGTTGATTCTAAATCCACGTGTCCACGTGGGGAGAGAGAGACACGCAAACTCCAAATATACAGTAGTAGGCGTCAGAGTCGGGATCGAACCCACGACCTCCTGTATACCAGGCGAAGTAGTTAACATCTCCTAGCCACCGTGATGATGATGAGAGAGACGCAAACTCCAAATATACAGCAGGCGTTGTCAGGGTCGGGATTGAACCCACGACCTCCTGTATACCAGGCGAGGTAGTTAATATCTCCTAGCCACCGTGATGATGATGAGAGAGACGCAAACTCCAAATATACAGCAGGCGTTGTCAGGGTCGGGATTGAACCCACGACCTCCTGTATACCAGGCGAGGTAGTTAACACCTCACCACCGAATTGTGACGAAGCTACTCGACAGGGCACTTAGCTCGTCCTCACTCGGTCAGACTTCGTTCGCGAAGACCTCGAGGGGAAGGAACTTTTAAACTCCACTCGGTGGCGGCGGCGACCAAAGTTGGCGCTCTCCGCACCGCTGCGACCGTGGTGCGCTGGGGGGGGGGGCAATCGGAATCGCCGGTGCCCACGATGGGCTCAGCCACGTGGTTCGCCTTGCACACCGAGGGCGATTGACAGCGACCATGAGGTGGGCTCGTGAAAGGGGCGAGTCCATTAGCCTGCTCTTGTCCCTTCCCAAACAACACACGTGTACATACTCTACTCAATTGGCATTACACAGAGCAGCA